AGGAGGGTCGCCAGGGAGCTTTAACCGGCCCGAGTACGGAAATAAAATAGCTTGGGGACCTTCCTTGTTGGGCGGTGCTGTAAGCGCTCGAGGCGAGAGGGGATGTCTGTGTGGGTGCCGGAGCCCACCCTGGTCCCAGCGTGCGCACAGCGCGCCTTTGGAGACAGGGCAACAGGAAGGGGGAGGACCGCGACCAGAGGTCACCGACAGGCCGAGGGAGAGTCCGCAACGTGGCGGGCGGCCTGGCCCGGGCGCAGGCGGAGAACGCAGGCTGTCGTTGCGCTCGGCGCCACGCGCCACGCGCCACGCGCCACGCGCGGGCGCGCACACTCGCTAAGATTGCTCCCGTGCAAATCTGCCAGGAGCTGCACACCTGCCCTACGGGCCCCAGAGAACAGATATAAGATGGACGTAAACATGCTTCGAAACGCGTTTGTGTCCTGCCGTCTCCCAGAAGGGTTTGCGGGGACTACAGTTAAAGAGGGGAGAGTCATAGCGTTGTGACAATTGAGAGGAAATTAACCCTGCGGAAGGAGAAGGAGGCAGACCCCATGGCCACCAGGGCCAAAGGGGAGACTGGCCCCGTGGCATCCTCAACTATGGCTGAAGGAAACACAGTAGTAATATAAGAGACAAACGCTGCAGTTATCAAGCCTGGGCTGGAGAATAAGAATGAATGAGGAAAGGTCATGAACTTTCTTTTCTTTTTGAGTTGGAGTCTCACTCGGTCGCCCAGACTGGAGGGCAGTGGCCGCTCCCGGCCCCCGCAGCCTCGACCTGCCGGGCTCCGGCGATGCTTCCGCCTCAGCCTTCCGAGTGGCCGGAATTACAGGCATGCACTACCATGCCCGGCTGATTTTTTGATTTATTGTAGAGATGAGGTCTCGCTGCCCAGGCGGGTCTCGAACCCGCGGGCTCAGGCAATCCACTCATCTCAGCCTCCCAAAGGCGCGGGATGACAGGCTGAGCCACCGAGCCCGGCTGGGCATGAACTTTCGAACGAGGCTTGATGCCTGCTGTGAATTTGCTTTCCGAGAGGGTTCTTGCTGTAAGTGTCAGATTATTCATCCTATGGATATCATACAAGGGGCAAGGAAAGACAGCGTGAACAGCATCTTCAGTAACCACCATACAGCAAATGAAATTTTTGTGCCGGTTCCTAAACCTTGGTTTTCTAATCTTGATTATGGGATAATAATGTCTGTCTTCTGGGTTTGTTGTGAGAATGAGTTGAGATGTTGCATGTACTCAGAGCGGTACATGCCTGATATACATAATAGACACTCGATAAGTGATACCTATAATAACTAATTTTTCTTTGAGTTGGAGTCTCACTCTGTCGCCTAGGCTGGAGTGCAGTGGCACACTCCCGGCCACCGCAGCCTTGACCTACTGGGCTTAGGCGATCCTCTTGCCTCGGTCTCCCAAAGTGCTGGGAGTGCTGGGATTACAGGCATGAGCCACCGCCCCTGGCCTAATAATCAATAATTATTATAACAATAATAATTATTATTCAGGTTCTTACCAGGTGGCCTGTAGGATTGGTTGCTGAATGGCTCTGTATTAGTCAGAATCAGCTAGATTATGCTGTGATAACTCTCAAATCTCAATGGCTTAAAACAACAAAGCTTTATTTTTCAGGCAGGCTGTGTGTGCATGGTGGTCGATAAAGGGTCTCTTCTCATTTTTGTCATTCAGGGACACAGGCTGATAGAGAAGCCACCATCTCAAATGTCATTATGCCTGAAGGAAAAAATAAAAAAGAGCTCTCAGAGTCTTACACAGGCAATTAATTAATAGCTCCCAGCAGTCCCTTCGGTTCACAGCTCATTCACCAGAACGAATCTCATGGTCCTAGTCGACCACAAGGGAGCAAGAAAGAGCAATCCTTCAGCCTAGAGACAGGAGAACTGGAAATATTTGAACAGTACTGACCTCCACCATAAACACCAAGGAGGATTCCAAGACGTTTTGGTAGTCATCCATCCTTCTACTCCTCTTTTGGGCTTTCTAAGCTCAGGCCCGTGATGAAGTCCAGAGTCCCAGAAAGTCAGGCTTCTGGATCCCAGGAGTTCAGTGGGTCAGAAGATGGCTTTTCCTCAGTATAGTGCCTTGGGCAACAGGCCATACGAGAAGTGGCCTGGGAGAAGCTTTCCGCTTGCCATAAAGCTCTGTTTCTTCACTCATAAAAACACAATACCAAGCCGGGCTCGGTGGCTCAGCCTGTAATCCCGCGCCTTTGGGAGGCTGAGGTGAGTGGATTGCCTGAGCCCGCGGGTTCGAGACCCGCCTGGGCAGCAAAACCTCATCTCTACAATAAATTTAAAAAAATCAGCTGGGCGTGGTAGCGCATGCCTGTAATTCTGGCTACTCGGAAGGCTGAGGCGGAAGGACCACCGGAGCCCAGCAGGTCGAGGCTGCGATGGCCGGGAGCGGCCACTGCTCCAGTCTAGGCGACAAAGTGACTCCAACTCAAAAAAAAAACCAAAAAAAACCCAATACCACCAATTTTTACAACTACTCTGCATATTACCATTACCATTATATTTTTTATTATAGAGAACTTGGAACATACACAAAATAGAAAGAATAGTGACCCACTCCATCATCCAACCTGACCCTTCTCACAGTTCTGCCCTTCTCAATTCCTGAATCCTTTCACTTGGGCTTGTTTTTGCCTGAGTATTTGAAAGTAAATCCCAGATGTCCTATCGTTTCACCTGTAAACACTCAACATGCATTTCTAACACATAATGACTTTTAAAATAACCTTAATTCCATTCCATGCTCCCCAACAAAATTAAATGAATGTCATCTAATATTTAGTCCATGATCAATTTCTCCAGAATGTCTAAAAAATATAATTTTGCAGTTGATTTGCTCACACCAGGATCCTATTAAGGGCTACACATTGCAATTGGTTAATTTGAGGAGGTAGTTAATTAATTGTTTTAAAATAGAGACAGGGTCTCATTATGTTGCCCAGGTTGGACTTGAACTAGGCTCAAGAAATCCTCCTGCCTCAGCTTCCCTAGTAGTACATTTAAGCTAGAAAACTTCTGCCCCCTTCACTTTATCTATGCCATTTTGTTTGTTTGTTTAAGAAACTGGGTCATTTTTCCTGTCAAGTTTCCCACATTCTGGATTTGGCTGACTAGATCCTTGCAAAGGTCACATAACACATTCCTTTGTTCCCTGTGCTTATAATTAGAAATTTGGTTAAATTCACATTTACCTTTTCTAGGAATATTCCGTATGTGGTACTGTATACTTCTGTCACCTCTTCCATTACCTTGGGAGGCACATGGTGACTGGCTGTTCTACTTTCAGTGACATTGAGATTGATCAGTTGATTCAGGCAGTGCCAGTCTGGTCTACTCATTATCAAGTTGTCCATTGTATGAGTTTTCTGTGGCTGCTATAACAAATCACTGCTAATTTGGTGGCTTAAGACAGCAGACATTTATTCTCTTATAGTTCTGGAGGATGGAAGTCCCAAATCAAGATGTCAGCAGGGCAGCACTCCCTCTGGGGACTCTAGGAAGAACCTTTCCTTGCCCTTCCAGTTTCTGGTGGCTGTTGGTGTTCCTTGCCTTCCTTAGCGGCATTACTCCGGCCTCTGCTCCGTGGTCACGCTGCCTACTTCATATGTCTGTGTCTTCTCTTCTGTCTTTTCTTTTTTTTTTTGCGTTGGAGTCTCACTCTGTCACCCAACTAGAGTGCAGTGTCCGCTCCTGGCCACCACAACCTTGACCTGCTGGGCTCTGGCGATCCTTCCGCCTCAGCCTTTCAAGTAGCTGGAACTACAGGCACGCGCTACCATGCCCGGCTACCTTCTGTCTTTCATAAGGACACTTGTCATTGACCCCACCTGGATAATACAGGATGAGCTCATTTCAAGATTTTTTTTTTTTTTTTGAGTTGGAGTCTCACTCTGTCGCCCACACTGGAATGCGGTGACCGCTCCTGGCCACCGCAGCCTCGACCCGCTGGGCTCCGACGATCCTTCTGCCTCCC